GATTGCTTCTCTCATGACCCCTCTCCCTCAAGAACTAGCAAGCATTGGGATTGTCCTTCTGTTTCTCTAATTCACAATTCCTCATCCCATGTGCTATTTGCCCTTCAAAGGTGCTGTTGCAGCAAATCTGGAGACAAGGAGCAGCTGGGGCTCTTCAGTGGAGATCCAGTGAAGGACTAAAGGTCAATACATCTCACCCCATGTGCTGCAATATTCCCAGTCTGGTTCCCACTCCCCCCCCCCCCCCGCATACACACATACTCCATGGCTGCTATCCTATATACAAAGGGTAGCCACCCTGGCACCGTCCAGATGTTTTGGACACCAAATCCCATCACCCCTCCAGCCAACATGGTTAAGGGTCAGGGATGATGGGACTTGTAGTCCAACAACAGTGTTGGCTGAGCCTGCTATATACAAATAGCGAACAAATAATCTCCAAGTGTGGAGCCTTATGCAGTCAAAATGGTATTACCTAAACATGAGAGGGAGGCATCAGCAGATCTGGGGGAAGCCTGTGCTTTTCAGATGTACAAAAATTGTTAAGAAAGAAGCCTCTAGCAGTGAAAGCAGCCTAGTGAAGGCTGAGCATGATCAATAGCCATGGAATACTGGTAGACCGATGCAGGAGGGGGATGAGGAAGCAAAAGAAGCAGAAGAGGGAAATGGCATGGCTGACTGGCTGGAATCCTGAACAGGATCACTCTATCCTGCATCATTATGGTGTGGGTACCATGACTTGATGCTTTAAAAAAAAAAAAAAAGAAACGAAAAGCCCAGGGGAGAAAATTACATACTATGCTTATCATCTATTCAGGGCCTTTGACTTAGCAGAAAAAAGAACTACCTAAATCTATTCATTTGACCTCATACCAAATTACTCAAACCCAGCTCAGCCCAGTAGGCTTTGAGAGTTGTCCAGTGGTCCTAAGGTAAGGCAGGTCTCTCCTCCTGGAAGCTTCTCTCCTTCTCCATCTCCCTCTCCTTCCTAGGCCTCCCACGGGCTTAGAAGTTTGCTGAATGAGGAGGGGAATTATATAGAGAGATAGATTTTAACAAAGCCACATTCCGAGACATTACCTCCAGGGCTATGAGCTGTGTGGCTAATGAATAGCTTTGCAGTGTTGAGGCTCAACAAACAGCTCAAAGCCTGGCCTCTTTGCATTGCAGCGCAGAAAGTTTTGTTTCCTGGCAGAGGCGTGCTGGTGTTGCCATCTGCTCTGCCCTGTTCATTATGCACCAAGTCACCATGGTCAGCTCCCAGCAGAAAGTTAAGACGGAGGTAAACTAGTATTTGAAAACAAAGGGGGGACTCTCTCCATCCTAATTAGCGGCAGGTTGAGAAGTGCAGCAGTGGGGGTCAAAGGTCACTTCCCAGAAGGCTTTGCTCAGGATTCCAAAACACCCACTTAATTCAAGCAGCTTAGCACACAGAGTCAGACTAGAGCAATTATGCTGCTTGAATTTCCCTAAGGATGGTTTTAACAATGCAACTCTTAGAAAAAGATTACTGCAGGAGCTCTTTTATTCTGCCACCTTAGAGCAGGAGGAGGTGGAATATAGGTTACTCCTTGCTCCAGAAGTGTTCCATTTCTGTGCCTCTGCATTAGGAGGCAGTATCAGAATTGTAAGGAAATTAATTAGGGCACATTTTAACTTTTTCTCCTTAAAACGAATACCAGTATGAGCCTCTGAATGTTCCAGGTTTATCCTTTTCTCTTTTTTTCATGCTCAGTGTCATCATCCCGATTCATTTTCTAGAGAGCTGAATTTTACACAGGGATATGGGATCACCAGTCTCAGTCTAAATATTCAGTATGTTCTTTAGTCCAACATTCACAATGCCTTCCCCAAATTGAGGTCTAATTCTCTTAATCTGAGTTAACATTTCCTTCTTACTCATCCAAGGGGAGTGAAGTCACCATTTCAAATCACAGCATTACATCACTGCTGAAACTTTGAGCCCAACTATCTTCACTTTGTTCCAGGAGAACTCAACACCATTATAAGTAATTGGCTATCAACTTGGATTTGCAAATTCCCAGGCTGAAGTCTTGGCTTGACCCTCAAGCATCTGGCCTAGAGACCAGTGATTGCCCATATGGAATCTATATTGGCAGTTGCCTAGCAAATGGTGGAGGGTTGGTTTTTTTTTGGGGGGGGGGGAGTACAAATGTTATTCTAGTTCCTAGTTATGTTCTTGTTCTATCCCTTGTTCTGCTTGTCCATTGTTTGGGGACAGCTTTTGTGATGAAGAGTGTTCTAAATGATTTAAATGGTTTTTAAGTTCTGTGATCATTATTAAAAAATAAGCTCCAGCAATTCTTCCTTGATTGTCACATGACGTAGCAAACACACATGGAAGTGTAGGGATAATGTATACTGCCTGTGCCCCATCTATGCATGTGAGCTTGTTGGTCTGAAGAGAGCCGATGAGCACCCCAAATGTATAAATGTGGGTCTCTCTTTGTGCAATTGTGATGCTTGCTTTGTCAGTGTTTGAAATGCACAGGACAATACGTGCATATAGTTGTGCAAGTGTGTAGGTTCTAGTGATGCAGATCCACCCTGCTTGGGACATGTCTCTTTAAAATACATAACTTCTCTCTTTCCTTCTAAGTGGGGAGACAGCATCTACCCCACCACTTATGAAACCACAAGCTGAGCAGCCCGTTGAGAGATGCTGTCTAGCAGAAAAGCTGAGCAGTTTCTGTGTATGTTCTTGTTGCCCTGTGATTATTATTATTACTACTGTTAATGTGAGCTGACAACATTTTGCTTTTCTTCTGTCACATTTGCAATAAAGATGGGGGGAAATTTGTGCTAATCAGCACCTCAAATCACCCATCTTTCCAGAATGTGTTAAAAGTGCTTTCCTATGTAAGTGCAAATTGACCCACTGGCTGTGCCAGGCAAGTTGTTACTCACAAGCATCTGGGTGGAAAAGACCTCAAATGTGTGGCCTTTATTCCTTAGTTTCTCACCTGCACCTGTTAACAGATTTAACCTGCTGTTTCTCCGCTTGAAATCTTAGAGTATGTGTCCATTGTTTAGCTAGATCCGTAACATTTGTATCTTTTCTTAAAGTATTATTTTGCCTTTGGTTAATTAGACTTAGTCTAAAAAAACCCTCCTTTCTTAAATTTGGCTTTTCAGTTGCAGTGCATTCTGGGACAGGCTCATGGAACCTCCTCCATACTTTGGCTAATTGATCTCACTTTCCACACATTTTTGTGAGGTAATTTCCCCCAATATAGTTGTTAGTATGCGATGTTTACTAGATTTACTATGTTTACTAATATCTTTATGCACACTCTGCTTTAGTATATGCATATGTGTGTACATTAGTTAGTGGGGAAATTGCATCGCAAAATTCAGGGAAGTGCAGATTTTGAAAGATGTCCGTGCTCCTGTTAGTTTATTATTTCAGAAAATGAATTAGGTAAGTTCACCTTTAATTCCAAAACTGAATCAAATTTCTCACCCATCCCTAGACAGCTATGGCAAGGGTGGAAGTGCTTGCCATGCTTCACATCTCTCTTCAGACCTTGCAGCAAACACAAGTGGGTCAGAGCAAGGCCTGCCATGAACCTACTTCCTCTCCTCCCTATGTGTCCAAAGAAACACACTGAAAAAAGTTCATGGCACATCCTGACATCATTTCTGAAGGCCTGATGTTATGGTATTGCATTATTTATTGAGGGCATCTGGTGGACAATTCCCCCCCCCCAAAAAAAATAGTGTGGTAAGACACTTACAGTGCAATCCTATTCTATTCAAAGTAAATTCTGTTGAGTTCAATTGCTCACATTCCTAGGTGAGTGTATGTACTACACTGTATAGGACTGCAGCTTGTGCCCCTAAGTTTCATTAAATTTTGCCTAATTTCTTCAGAGTTAAGCTGCACACACACCGTACACTTAAAGCACATGACTTTCCCCAAAGAATCCTGGGAATTGTGGGTTATGCCTCACAGAACAACAGTTGTCAGCACTCTTCACAAACTACAGTTCCCAGGATTCTTTAAGGGAAGTCACTTGTTTTAAATGTGCTTTAGAAATATGGTGTGTACACAGACTAAGACTGGCGTCCACTGCTTGGCTCCTTTGTCACCTGGGTTCTTTGTGAAGTTGTTTTGTACCACGGAGTCCATTCCCAGTAACCTCTGGTGTGTAGTGCCACAAAAAGCTAACCCCTGGGCAATAAATCCATTCCTCTCTCACTCGAGCAAATAAATCAGCTCTTTTCCCAGATATATCTAATGTACACACACACACTGCGAGAAGGAGGCATTCCTTCTGATTATTAATGTGTAAAGATGCACTCCCATCCTAGCCTCTACCCTACTTATGCTTCCCTTTGGGGAACACCCTTTCACCTTCCACAACAATTAAACTTTCATCAGTTCAGCTGGGTAAGATAAATCCTGTTTATCGTGATTGCTGCTCTGTATGCTGGACATGAAACAAAAGCAGAATCAATACGTCGGCCTTTCCTGATGGCTGTGCTTTTGACTGTTCCTTTTGTTGCCAGCTGAGACTATTGGTACTATTGCTGTATGTTAATGAATCTGTGTTGTCCCATTAACCCACAGTCCATGGGCTTGCTGGATTTTGCTGGGCCTTTTCTTCCTTTTCCCTTTCCCTTTCTCTCTCCCCCCCCCCCAAACCTCTCCCTCGATCAATATTTGATGAGGGTAATTTCAAAGACTTGTTTAGTATGATCTCCACATAAGGAGTCCTTCAGAGTATTTATCACGTTGGAGGGATAATTACATTCAAATCCTGAGACACTGTTGCTAGGTTACTGCCGCTTGCCATTCCTCTAGCTTTTGTGTATTCAGAGTTCGGTCTCCCCCACCCCGCCCCGTTCGCTCCTCCTCCTTTGCTTGAGACCCTTTCAATATCAGGATTAACAGGGGGAGGAGGCATGAGGCTTAAGCCAAATGACCCTTTTAATGAAGCATAACAGGCCCATTATTGCCTCTGGTGAGCTCCATAGGCCATATTGGACAACGGCCGCCCGCTGGGGCCAGAATCCGGTGTGGAGATGAAGGGCTGTTGAATGATGCCGCTGAGACAGATTAGGGATGTGGGAGGGTGATAAAGAGGGCATATTGCTTCAGCAGAAGGCTCTGGGGATGGTACGACTCCATGGCAGGAATAATAACAGCGCCTTTCCTCTCCCCCTTCAGAATCCTGAATGGGAACAGAGTAGACGAGGACTTTCAAGTCTCCCTTAGACGATGGTCAGAACTGAGTTTTCTCTCCAGAAACAGCCTAGATCCATGTGGCACCTAGGATGGAACCAAACCATTTGCTGGTGAGCACACCATTGTCGTTTTTTTAATAGCATCATACCCTCCAACATTTTTCTGATGAAAAGAGGGAAGTCCCATTCCATAAGGATAATTTTACTATTTATACCCCACACATCTGACTGGGTTGCCCCAGCCACTCTGGGCAGCTTCCAACACATATGAAAACAGAATAAAACATTTTAAAAACTTTCCTATACAGTGGTACCTTGGGTTACATATGCTTCAGGTTACATACGCTTCAGGTTACAGACTCCGCTAACCCAGAAATAGTACCTCAGGTTAAGAATTTTGCTTCAGGATGAGAACAGAAATTTTGCACCAGCGGCAGCAGGAGGCCCCATTATCTAAAGTGGTGCTTCAGGTTAAGAACAGTTTCAGGTTAAGAACGGACCTCCGGAACGGAATAAGTACTTAACCTGAGGTACCACTGTACAGGATTACCTTCAGACTGCTTGGGGGTTGGATAACTCCAAACCCCCCAACATTTCTCCAGCGAAAATAGGGACATCCTAAGGAAATGTGGGACATTCCAGGATCAATTCAGAAACTGAGATGGCTTCTCTAGATCAGAGACTTCCCTGGAAAATAGGGACACTTGGAGGATCTGCAGTGTTAGACTACACTTTGGGTAGACTAATACTGTAAAGTGTAGTCTAACACTGTAAGAAAAGCCTTGGCCTGGTATTGGCCTTATTTGCACATCAGGCACCAAACCTGGTAGGGTGTGAGCGTGGAGGAACAACAGAGGGTAAAAGGGATTTGAGGTCAGGAGAATGGAGGCCATCCTACTACAGGTTGTCTTTTTCATGAATGGAATTCGTGACCTCATAATGTCAGTGCCTAGAGGTTGCAGTTCAAATGTCAATCCTACTCTTTTGCCCCATCTTGGTTATGAATATAGAGTAGGCACCAGCTGTTTAACATCCAGTCTTCTGGCTTTGTCCGTGTCTAGGCTTCCCCCTCAAAGGTGAAGCTTTGGAGCCCTGATCTTTACCACACTGTCATTTGGTTACAAAGGACAGACATGGTGTGAAGAATGTGACATCAAATTGTCCAGCTGAAATGTAAGAGGGTTTGGCTATATAATGGGCTGGGCAGAGATGGGGTGAAGACTTAGCTTCACCCCTATTTCCAGAAGCTAAGAGATGGTGGGATGAGGTTTCAGTATGAGAAGCAAGAGATCGGTGAGGAGGGATAGACAAATGTATCTCTCTCCAGTCTATAACACATTTACATCTAGAAATCTATCTCTTTCCAGACTATGCAACATTTACATGTTTCTTCCCATAATTCTGTTCTCCTCAATTTCTGCCTTAATCTACATTTTAAAAAAATGCCTCAAAACATGTATTTAATATGTATTTGAATGCATATTTGGATGTCTATTTTCTCTAAAGATATATATGTATATATTTAAATGCGCATTTCCAAATAAATATTTAAATCCTTATCTTGATGTATTAACTCTCACCCAGACTTCTGAGGATAAAATTATGCCACCAGTACGCTTTTTCACTGCAGGATTTACACAGAGGTAAACTTACAATGTAATCCTTCTAGGGCATAGTCACCTGCACAGTAGGAGACAACATCTCCACATTTCATGTATTTACAGCCACTCTCTATTTTCCGTACAAAAGGTGCCTGTGATGAAAAGGAAACAAGGAAAATTAATTTTACAAGCAGAATGTTTTGTTGTTTGCTCTCACAAATGTAAGTAGGTGAGGGGGGGAAGCTCCTAACAAAAACTGATTCAGTGATGTAGATTTTAAGTGCCCAGACAGGGGGTAGACTTCAGCTATGCACTCTTCCAATTGCTCCATTTGTGAAAGCATTTCTGCTTTCCAGATGAAATGATTCCCTTTCTGCTCCACCATGTACTGTCCTGAGAGCTCCTAACCCCTCAAAAAGCCAATTTCGGTGGTACAGGAGCATGCTGGAGGAGGAGAAGGGGAAAGCCCCATGGTACTAGTGGAAGTCCTTGCTCATGGCTTCCACTGACAGGGTTGGTTGGGTGAATCCCACCCAGGGTGTTCTTTTTTTGGGGGGGGGGGAACCTGGCACAAAAATAATTCCAATGTTTTCAGTTTTTGCCGCTGGGGTTTTGTGTTTGCTCCAGCCAATTTTAATTTATTAGGATTAAAAAAAAAACATGGCTTTTAAAACAATAATTGATATAGGTAGCAGAAGAAATGAATGCTGAGCTAAAATGGGTGGTTTTTCACAAAGGTTCCCCAAATTGTAACAACAACAACAACAATAAAGCGATCCCCATTTCAACAATTTGAAACAGGGTTGAATGTGTTCAACAATTCAGAGTGAGTGCTCCCTGCCTTCATTCTGAATTTGCCTTGCAACAAAACAATATAGCTCATCTTGATGGGCTGCATCAAATGTCAGGAAACTCCAGATGTTGTTGAATGACAACTCCCATCATCCCTAGCCATTGGCCATGTCTTCCAGGTCTGGCGGGAAATGTGGTTCAGGCTACATGATGGCATTGTGCTATCATCATGTTGGCCATGACATCCCCTGTCGCTGCAATCCTATAACCAAGAAGAAGAAAGCACTTTGGGGGGGGAGCACAAAAGCAGTTGCTGATTGGACAGCAGACAGAAACTGAACCACTGTGAAAAAGATGAACAAGGGGTAGGTGGAGAAAAATCATCCCTTTAATACCCAAAATGTTTACTTGTGTGCAGCCACTGCACTCAGCTCCACCCCCGGCTCCTCCGATGTCCTGACACCTCCCCCCATTCTTCTTCAGAAGGTGGCACCTCTGGGTACTAGTGGGATTTTTTCTTTGCCTTGGGTGCCAGAATGACTTGGTCATTCTTGGTAGTCTGCCTTGATGCGACAAGACACCACTTGCTGTTTTGCCCCAGGCAATAGAATACCTTGGGCAGGTCCTACTCCTGCCGCCATCTGCCAGTGCAGGTTGTTAACAAATGAAATATGAACTAGTTGTGGTTAAATGTGGATTTACCCTACCAACCTTGCATTTCTGGGATCTGGCTGAATGCATATTTGGTCAAGTGAGAGGTTTGGCTTACGTCTTCTCTTTCTACAATGTCTAACTGAAGATATGCAAGTCTGATTTCCCAAAGCTTTTTCCATGAAAACGTTTGTGACAGTACGATTAAACTGCTTAGAGACCATTATACTCAACAGAATATACATTATTTAGATAAAAAAATCATTTTACGTAGGGCTGCCGCTAAAGACAGTTTGGAAAGTTCAGCTTATGCAAAATTCGGGAGTCAGGTTGCTCACTGGGGCAAGGCGGTGTGAGCATATTACACAGGTCCTGGCCTAGACCACTGGCTGCCAATTAGCTTCCAGGCCCAATTCAAAGTCCTGGTTTTGACCTATAAAGCCTTAAATGGCTCAGGAACACAATACAATGGTACCTCGGGTTAAGTACTTAATTCGTTCTGGAAGTCCGTTCTTAACCTGAAACTGTTATTAACCTGAGGTACCACTTTAGCTAATGGGGCCTCCCGCTGCTGCCACGCCACCAGAGCATGATTTCTGTTCTCACCCTGAAGCAAAGTTCTTAACCCGAGGTACTATTACTGGGTTAGCAGAGTCTGTAACCTGAAGCGTCTGTAACCTGAAGCGTATGTAATCCAAGGTACCACTGTACCTCAAGGACCGCCGCTCCCCATATGAACCGACCTGGACCCTGTAACAATAATCTGAGGCCCTTCTTTGTGTGCCTCCATGAGAGATCTGGAGGGTGGCAACACAAGGACGGGCCTTATATGTGGTGGTGGCTACCTGTTTGTGAAGTGCCCTCTACATGGAAGCTGGCTTGGTGCCTTTATTATACATCTTTACACACCAGGCAAAAGTGTTCCTCTTCGACTAGGTTGATTAATATTCTAGGACCTTTTAAATGTGTTTGTGGGAAGAGGAGTTATTGTTTTGTTTTTTGTTTTAACTATTCACTTTGGCTTTTATCCTGTATTTTCATCTTGTAAACAGCTCTGAGATCTTTGGATGAAGGGTGGTATATAAATAAAATAAATAAATAAATAAATAAGCAAGCATGCATACAATTTACCAAAACTTGATACATATAGGGCAAAATGATCCTTTAAAGCTAAAGGATGTTCCCTTTGACATAATGGTGAAATACTGTAGCATGAAAAATGTGATTGATTTGCTGCTGTTTCTTGGCTAAATAATCCTCACGTAATATAAATAGAATGCTGCTGGGGTTACATTCTAGCAGACAACATTCCTCCCACACCAAATTGTTCTGCCATATAGCTAGATCCTAGATATAGGGATGTAAATAGAAAGATATCTCACTACCCCCACGGAACACCTTAATGCCACAGGACTCTCTAAGGGGCAGACACTTAATAAAGCATAAATTATCATGATTCATCATCTTTAACATTGGCTTTGCCCTTTATTGGCCGAACAGAACAAATAGTAGATAGACAGGATTTGGGGGTGGGGGTGTTTCAACACCGTTCTCGGGAAATATTATTCTATCCACAAGGTTCAGAAGAAGAACCAAACTGCCTTTGTTCTCTTTCGGATTTTAAATAATAAGACACACTGTACAATAGGGAGTGTTATCACTAATCCCCACAGCAGAGCTCGAAATGAGCTTACAAACTGTGCAGCAGGCACTGTGGGAAGAGCAATTATGCTAACAGCGACAACAACAAAAAAGCCCAGGTCTGAACTCCCCAGGTTATATGGAGGGCGAACATGACTGCTGTCAGTTTGCAACAGCAACGAAAACCTCAGCTGCAAATAATATACACAAATAAAAAGCTGCCTGCTACACTGCCTATGCTGGGTGAGAGGGAGGGATTTGAATGGAATCTATTAGATTAGTTCCCAAATTCAGTCCTTCTGCTCCCAAACATTTCATAATTTCACATTTGATTAGAACAGAACAGTCATTGACATTCATCATAAACATGCATAATGTGAGCATTTTGGGTCAAGAGTTCAGCAGATATCAAAATCAAAGCGTAGTGTATTGACCACAAAGGGGAAAAAATGTTTGTTTTTCATTGCCTCGTTTTGACATATTTGGGGCTTCATGGTTTGGCTTCTGAACAGAGACAACCCTTGTGAAGGGAAACAGGTTGTTTTCTTACAGTAACTGGCTTCTTTACATTGTATAAAACAGCCTTGAAACAGACACTTCACAATCTGCCTTTGGATCCAGGTAAATGGTTCTTGCAGAAATAACAGCGTATGTAATAAATGAACAGAGTGTCCATGCCTTTGCAACAGGGATTTGGATGCTGTTGAACTCTAGCTACCACCAACCCCAGCCTGCATAACTAGTGGTCAAGGATGGCAAGAATAAGCGTTTAGCAGCCTATTGAGGGCCACAGATTCCCCAACTTGCTTAACAGGATCAGAGTCAGAGAGATAGGTAGATCAGGACTGGACGCAATTCCATCCAAAAGCCTGCATGAAGAAAAACAACCACAGACACTCAGATTATAAATTCAAAGAGAAAAGGTGTAAGGTTTCAATGGAATGGAGAATGAATGAAATGATTCTCAAAACATGGCTCAGATGTTGTGAGTGATTTGGCAAATGACAACCACAAAACCACCACCAAATTTAAAGCCAGTATTCTGTTCTAGGAAAACCAAGTCCATATGACTAAGATGAGGTGTGAGGACCTTGCTGGTGGCAAGTCCTTCATGTGTGGAATAGTGAAAGTATAAACCAGCCTTCTCCAGCCGTGTGTTCTCCAGAAGTTTTGTACTACAACTACTCATCAGCACCAGCCAGCATTGGGAGTTGTAATCCAAAACAGTTGGAGGGCACCAGGTTGGCAAATGTTGGTATAAGCCATTTGGGGGGCTAAGGCATTGATCCCAGTGCAATGAAACGAGAAGGTATCAGGCATGAAGGAGTTGAAGTAATGCAGAAAAGCAGACAGATGCATTTCTCTCTCTCGTTGGCTACACAATGTAAAGGAGTTCCTGGTTTGGCTTCCAGACATGATGATATGATGGATGCTGTTTATCATTTGAGAGAATGAGAACAGTACAAGACAAGAGCATGGCCGATAATTCAATTTACAGCAGAGACTTGTCAGGACTTGATCTGACATTTTACTCTTCTGTTTGCACAGCACTTGGCTTTCATTATTGCCAGAGATTTGCAGATATAGACCCCCCCGCTTCCTAATGTGGAAAGCATTTGCAACCCTGCCTGAGTTCTGCAGCTTGTTTCGCTTGCTCGTAAAGCAAGAATCATAGACTCATAGAATCGTAGATTTGGAAGGGACACCAAGGGTCAGCTAGTCCAAACCCCTGGTGAGTCTACCCAGCTGTCCCTGGGTAGACTCACCAACCTTCTGGTTAACAGCCAGACCCACTGAGCCATTGCACTACGAGAAGGGCAATGTGGGAAGCAGAAGATTTGTTTTCCCCATGACCTCTGATGCAACCAGAGGCCATTTTTATTTACTTTTTTCAGCTGCTTAATTTTATTCTGGCATCCTTGGGCTTGGCTTCTTCTTACAAATCCATTTAGATTGCCCCAGGCTTGTTCAGATCAGCAGGTCCCAACATGAATCATAGTTAGATGAGCAAGGCTTTTTCTACTGAAGCCCCATGGGTGTGGTATGAAAGCCTTGACTATGTGTAGCCTAGGGTGGCCATGCACCTTACTTTGCAGAGGACAGTCCTCTGTTTTGAAGGGCTGTCTATCTGTCCTAAGCAGGCAGACAAGTCACCTGGTGTTTTCCTTGCTATGGTGAAATATAACTGGTTTCTATTTAAATTGTTGTAATTATTTCTAAATTTGCGTCTATAAATATAAATATAAATTACTAAAATATAAATTATGCAACTTTTAGCAAATTGCTATTATATTTTGTTCTCTTTTTTGTAATGCAAATCCTCATTTTGGGTAATGCATTACTGGTCACACAACTCGGCCTGTGTGCCTTTGACCATTTAGGTCAGGCATGGCCAAACTCGGCCCTCCAGCTGTTTTAGGACTACAACCCCCATCATCCATAGCTAACAGGACCAGTGGTCAGGGATGATGGGAATTGTAGTCCCAAAACAGCTGGAGGGCCAAGTTTGGCCACCACTGATTTAGGTGAAGGATCCAGCTCTTAAAATTGTTCATTTGTGAGTACAACTGCTTTTAAGGTTGTCAGTGATCTTAGCTCCTGCTATTAAGTCACTTGCTTTAATTTTTTTTTACTTTGAAGCTTAACAATTGATAAAAAAGGGGGGTGGAGAACTATTTCCAGATGATCTTGAGCAGTTCCCACTATGCACTACACAACTGTGTACAGGGATGCATGAGCATAGAATCACATGGAGAAGGTTAG